ATATCAACACCATTACCAGCAGCAGCAAGAGCAAAACGAGGCCCAACCTCAAAGAGCATCATGGATGGAACAAGGATACAATCGTCCTCCTCAGCCTGCAAATGACATTCCATTGAACTATAGCCACGTCCCCAGTCATACCCACCAGGGATATAATCAGAATGAAAGCTCATACGGACAGGAACAGCCCCGGAGATACACAAGTACGTCGTCGCAACAGTACGGTAATGATGCCACCACTGGCAATATGGATGGGCAGGGCGACGGAGGGTATTACTCTGAAGCTCAGGCTCTGAACTCCACCCCGGGCTTGAATCAGAACTCGATGCAGAACCTCTCTCGTGCTGGTGTGAACGTACCTGATTTGGGTGTCAGCGGCGGTGGTAATGATAATGGGAATTATTTTCCGCAGCAACGACAGCCGCAGCAGCAACCACCACCACCACTGCACCAACCGACCCCGCAAAGCGCAGCACAAACAGCCCAAGCGAACGAGCTTCAACAACGATTTGCAAATATGAATTTAAGTCGACAGGACACAGAATCTGATCAGGGTCAGGGATATCAACCACAGGTCCCTTATCAACAGCAGCCCCCGCAATCTTACTCCCGTGCTCCTCATGATCAGTCTTATCAGCAACCATATCAGTCCCTGAGTCCACAGCAGTCATGGCAGCAGTCTACGCCATCCTCGGTGGCGACGCGACATGCATCAACGTCGTCTGTGCCTAGCGTGGTGGGAAAGAAGAAGCCGCCTCCTCCACCACCAAAGAAGAAGAGAATACCAATTCCAGGACAGGTACAGCCTGCGCAACGGCAGCAACAGCAGAGTCAGGGACAAGGGGTGTCGTACGCCCCACAGCTGCCGTTCGGGGCTCCTAGACCATATTGATTTGCCAAAGCCCGGTGTAGAAGTGCCATTGATGATTCTTCAGGTTGTTTTTGTTGTTTCTCCTTTTTGAATAGAATGTGAGCATCATAATGAAGTTTTGCATTGAATGCCAGTATCATGTCAACTCCCATCTCTATCAAAGATCTTACCGAGGTTGAAAAAAAAAGTAATGACAAGAGTGGGATTTGAACCCACGCCCCTTTCGAGACTGCAATACAATTCCTGTGGTCAGGAACAAGTTTGAACAACTTGAGTGCAGCGCCTTGGACCGCTCGGCCATCTTGCCGTTTTCTTGAAATAATTTTTCTAAAGCGTTATATATTGGAGACCAATACTTGGCAATCATACTTGGCTGAAACGACAGCTGCAGTCGATTGGTGTCAGCACCACCCTTAGCACCAGAATTAGCACCAAAAGGACCAGCCTCAGCCTGAACATCACATGGGTGTATGCATGGATGACCAGCATGTATAAAGGCGGGGTGTCCCCTCGACTTGAGGTCAGCAAAGCCAGTAGGGCAACCGCTTCGATTGCACAGAGAAAACGAAGCGAGGCAGAGAGCGAAGAACTGTGCATCGGCCATGAGTTTCTGTCGAAATGTCTCAGACCCCATCATCATTCCGCCACCAAACGAAAGCCATACTCACACCGTCGTCCTGCTGCATGGCCACGGTCAAAGCGCCCATGATATGCTGAACGGCATCTTTGGCCTACGAACCGACGAAGGCGACTCCCTCCCTTCTCTCTTTCCCCATACACGCTGGGTCTTTCCCCAAGCCCCTGAGTACTCCGATGTGGTAACAGGAAGAGGGAAGAGCAGCTGGCTCGGCAGAGTGGAGGATGGACCGTATACAAAAGGAGAACATGCACCAAAAGAGAATGCGAATGCCACCTCACACCTTACCTATTTATTGATTCGTCTGTTGCGTCATGAAGTGGAGGTCCTGAATTCGAAAACGGAGAACCTGGTGATAGCAGGGTTTGATCAGGGGATGGCCATTGGAATGCTCTCGGCGATGCTATTCACCACTTCCGAGAGAAGGTTTCCTGATTCTCCTCGATTTGGAGGGTTCGTTGGAATTTCTGGTTTCTTCCCTCGTGCTGAATTAGCCGTGGCTTTCTTGGATGCATTCCAAGAACCCGGTTATTGCTGGGTGAGTGAGGAACATGCAGATAAAAGGGCAGGTGAAGCGGCAGCTGGGGTTTATCACATGCTCACCGAACCATTTCGCAACATTCTTGCCCCCTCTGATTGTCAACCAGTAAGAAAAACATTCACTAGAACTCCAGCTTTGATCATGCATGCCTGGAATGACCGTTATATTCCCATGCAATTTGGAGATGATGCATGGGTTTCGCTAGGCGGACTGGGGGTGTGGGTAAGCTCTTTCGAGTTTACTGGAACGAATGACAACGGGCATGAATTCAACGCTGAAGCTCTGGGTTGCTTTGCTGAATTTCTGAAGAGTGTCCAGTCACTAGATCCATCTAATCCTAAACCTCATCCTGACCGTCGATTTTTCCTTCCATGGCTTAGTTCTGAGTTTTAGTCAAACAGCATTGACCTCAACCTATGTGTCCGCCAAACAATTGTCATGCATGTTTTTTTTATTTTTTCGACTTGCAAGATGAAGGGCAACCACAGGAACCTGTCTTGGTCGTTGATTGCTTTTTGCTCAATTTATTGGCAAACAATTTGCTACATATTGTTGGGTACTGTTAATCTAACAAATTGCAAATCACCTAAAAAGAAGCAAACTTCTTTCGATACACCTGTGGCCTTTCATGGACTGACCGGGCTTGCCAATTGCCCTTAAATACAATATGCCTCAAAAAATTCATGATTCTTGACACTTCACATTGCCATGTTGAATCAATTGATCACCGCCTACGATTCACAAAACCTCGCAGATTTCTATTTTTCTGACTCACTTCCAGCTTCACTACTGAACATTTCAAAATAATCATAATTCACTTCACTCAAGATTTTCTCTGGACTGTTTTCCTTTTTTCGGGCTTCAAACCAGATCTTCCTCGGTGCTCACTCGCGAAAACATTCCCTCAGATTGCAAGGCCAACCATCTACCACATAAGCCATTATGTTCATCATCGCAATGATCAATTCCGTCCTCCTTTTATCGCTTGGATATATCACCCTGGGCACTCCAACCAATCACCTTCCCGTCACTGAAGCTGACCGCCTTCTCCCCTCATCACTATCACCGCCGACGGCACAGACGTCTGTCCATGTCATTCCCCTGGACAGCCACATCACTCTCAACCTCGCAAACGACGGGACAGGCATTAATGCAAACGCCATAATTCCAATCGATGGCACAATGCGTCTTCTGAATGAGTTCTATCAACATACCGATCTGGTATGCCATTATCACTTGGGCAGTGACGGTAGCAGCAGCATCCACGAAAGCCATCGACCAGTCCAGATCTGTGCTACTTCAGCTACTCTGACCCAGTTTCCTAGTCATACTGGGTTCAAATGTTATCTGTATCTCAATATGTCACAGATGGCGTTCTTGGATGAACAGCGGACCAGCACAGTCATGAGAAGCTCGACAGGGAGTCTGAGTGATCTGGGCGTGCACAAGGGTCTGGAAGTTGTGGATGTTTCAGGGGTTGCGATCATGTGTGTTCCTTGAAGTGAATTTTTTCCATTTCTATTCAATGTGGTCGAAGGGGTATGGATGTGATTCTTGAGTCGTCCGGATGATGGTTGGTTTGAAAGTCCAAGGTCAAATATGCTCTTGCCTTCTTTGCGGATTTTTCTTCCTTTTTGATTTTTTTTGGCCGCTAAGGAATTGAGGGTGTTGTCAAATAACGTCAATCACCTTCGAACTGCCCTTGAAATTGGCGCAGCTCACCTACCGTGCCTGCTGCCGTGGGTCGTCGCCAGCAATTCAACCTTTATGACATTCTGTCACAAAAATCGTACCTTCCATAATTCCTCGGTGATCAAGTGCTCCTTCCCCTTTTTCAGAGTTTACCTCATTTCGACCCGGGTTTTCCTTTCAGAAAGAGAAAGAGCTCTCGATGGCTGAAGTGCCCTGAATGACCCAGCTGTCATGTTTTCATCGTTATGAAAAAGCCATGAGAAAGCCAACATGGACACCGTAAGGAAGGATTCCATTTCCCTCCTTGCCTAGTAACAAGTGTGAAAATAAATGTTCACTTGTTTTGATACCCTCAATGAACTTCGTGCCAAGGTGAAAGGCTTCATCAAGTTTCTGGACAATTGAGGTCACTACACACCCTCAAAAAGGAGAAGACACGGTGAACCGTCCTTCGTTTTCGAGCGGGATAACCTGACCGAATTAGCCGGCGAAGGGCTGAAGATGACCTACATTCTGAGACCGCCTGCAGACAAACTCACCATCAACATTGACCATGGCGAATAGGTTCATCCATTCACAAGAACCGTATCCGTGCAATCAGGCGAATGGGTTCCAAATGTGAGGGGGCGTTCATTCGAGTGAAGATGCCTCAACAAGTCAGTCGGCTTTGAAAAGATGGTTGTGATATATAGAGCTCAGCATTTCTATCAACTGAGCCGTATCAAGTATATCACTGACCAGTGTAGCTCACCAACCAAGTAAGGTTGTTACCATCAAAGATCACGACAAGTTGGAAGTCGCGACCATGACAGAGGACCATAGCGTAAAGTCAAACGTACTTACCTTGACTGGTCAGGAATTCCTCCGTGAATAATGGAAGTTGCTCTTTTGAAGGAAAGAGCGAATGTCTAGAGCAAGTCAGCTAGTCAGAGGCAACGGGTTGGGTATACAGAATAAACCACAATGTATAGGAGTGGGTGCCGACACTCCCATCGTACGGCGGTCATCGGGTAGGGAATGTTCACATAAATCTAGAAATAATTCCAGACATCCCATAATATGTACAGAACACATACTCCATTGAGTCGTATCTGACGGCCATCTGAGAATATCAATGATCAACCGCTATTGGTTTTTGATGATGGCCATGTTCGAGGAGGGTATACTTATTGAGTTGATCGTCACCAGAAATTTGACCGTGGTAATACTCCTATGCAAGTCAGCAACCAGGTAATGAGGATCGACGCGCGGCAATAAATCATAACATGATCGCCCTGTGCCCATCGTGAATTGCAATCTCAAGCAAGTATGGCCCAACGTTGCAGCGCCCTATGGAAGTCACTTAGTTGGGTGGAAGCGCCGTGACATGCCCAAATGGATCAGTTCATGCACCGAAAAATGAACCTGGCGTGAATCAACAAGACATGAAGATTGAAAGACAGGCGTGGAAGCCATCTGATTGATGTTCGTGACTATTATGACGGCAGGCCATCCGTGCCGCTATATAGACGTTAGCCAGTCAGGGGTTAGGGGCGGTTTGGCGTACATGATGGGCAACATGCCACGTATCAGCATGATGATGATGTTGTTGATGAAAGGAAGAAGAAAAAATTAGAAAAAGAAACTGAAACCCAAAAGGAAAAGAAGAATGTCTCAACTAGCGATCGTTGTGGAAAACAAGGAAAGCACAAACGTCGTGATATAAGGGGAAGGGGCGACCCTCATTCAGTGTACCAAACTAACACGAGTCGAGAAACCATTACGTTCCGTGAACTGAGCAGGCATAAGGAGGAGCCATTCAAGTCCCATCATTATGGCATTAGCACCAGCTATCGTCATATAGAAACAACATACAAGAAGTTCCAAAGTCAAACCATACAACTCATAAGAAGCGAAGGATAAACACTTAAGGACCAAGCCGTTCAGTCCTTTTCATATCCATCACGCTCTTCGATCAAAATCCAGCCTTCTCTCTGCCCGCCTGGTACGGTCCCTTCTCCAAGTTCATCCTGCACTCCGCCTTCCAATCCTTCGGCCTGAACTTGTCCGTAATCTCCATAAACGCCTTGAGCGTACAGAAACTGGTATCGCCCTCCAGATGATTTCCAGGCACTGCACAACCAGGCACACGCATGATTTTATCATTAAACCTGATCCTCACGAAGTGGTTTTCCAAGGCTGCCTGCTTGGCTTTCTCAGAAGCAGCCGCAGAACCCGTGAGCCGCGAGATGATACCACCAGATGCCTCAGGGACCGGAGTGGCAGGGGACGACGCACGACGGAAAAGCTCGACTGCGACGCTAGACGTGAAAGGCGGCCACGACTCACTATCGTACGCGCCAACGCTAGCGAGTAAAGATGCAAGTGTCGTATCATGACATCCGCTCAACGCCATTTTCACAGCAGGCGTCTCCTTCTTGTCTTCGCCGTCGCTGAC